AGAAGAAGCCGCGGAACATGAGCGAGCTTGGCTGCGCGGACGGTTGCGGAAGGGAAATGGGTGCGGAGAATTGCGCGGACGGCTGCGGACGGCGTGGATGCAAGGAGTGGCTGGAAATGGGTGGGGATCGCGCTGGTGATGAGCGAGGACGGCTGCGGACGGGAAATGGGTGCGGAGAATTGCGCGGACGGCTGGGTGCAACGGATTGGCTGGAAATGGGTCGGGGGAAGAAGCCGCTGGTGATGAGCGAGCTTGGCTGCGCGGACGGCTCCGGACGGCAAATGGGTGGGGAGAATTGCGCGGACGGTTGCGGACGGCGAGGGTGCGAGGGAGTGGCTGGAAATGGGTGGGGAGAAGAAGGCGGACGGCAAATGGGTGCGGAAAATTGCGCGGACGGCTAAGATGCAGCCCACGAACCCGAATGCTCACACGTATGTTAATGGATATGCAGTCACTCAGAACAATTTTCTGCAATAGTTTATTTGAACACTTGCCCTGTTACCAGTCTGCAGTGTGGAGTGGACAGTGTAGAGTGTGGAGTGTAGAGTGTAAGTGTAGAGTGCGGAGTGTGGAGTGTAAAGTCTGGAGTGTAAAGTGTAGAGTGTGGAGTGTAAAGTGGGAAGTGTGGAGTGTAAAGTGTGGAGTGAGGAGTGTAGAGTGTGGAGTGTGCAGTGGGTAAAGTGTGGAGTGTAGAGTGTAAAGTGTAGACTGTGGAGTGTGGAGCATAAAAGTGTGGAGTGTAAAGTGTGGAGTGTGAAGCGTGGAGAGGAAAGCGTGGAGTGTAAAGTGTGGAGTGTAGAGTGTAAAGTGTAGAGTGTAAAGTGTAGAGTGTGGAGTGTAAAGTGTGAAGTGAGGAGTGTAAAGTGCAAACTGTAAAGTGTGGAGTGTAAAGTATATAGTGTGGAGTGAGGAGTGTGGAGTGAGGAGTGAGGAGTGTGGAGTGTAAAGTGTAGAGTGTAGAGTGTGGAGTGGAAACTGTAGAGTGTGGAGTGTGGAGTGTAAAGTGAGGAGTGTGGAGTGTAAAGTGTTGAGTGTAAAGTGTAGAGTGTGGAGTGTAAAGTGGGAAGTGTGGAGTGTGGAGTGTAAAGCGTGGAGTGAGGAGTGTAAAATGTAAAGTGTGGAGTGAAAAATGTAAAGTGTAGAGTATGGAGTGTAAAGTGTGAAGTGTGGAGTGGAAAGTGCAGAGTGTGAAGTGTGGAGTGGAAAGTGTAGAGTGTGGAGTGTGGAGTGTAAAGTGTGGAGTGAGGAGTGTAAAATGTAAAAATGTAAAGTGTGGAGTGAGGAGTCAAAAATGTAAAGTGCGGAGTGTAGAGTGTAAAGTGTACAGCGTAAAGTGTAGAGTGCGGAGTGTGGAGGGTAAAGTGTGGAGTGTAAAGTGTGGAGTGAGGAGTGCAAAGTGTAGAGTGTGGAGTGAGGAGTGTAAAGTGTAAATTGTGGAATGAGGAGTGTGGAGTGTAAAGTGTGGAGTGTGGAGTGGAAAGTGTAGTTTGTGGAGTGTGGAGTGTAAAGTGTGGAGTGTGGTGGAGTGTGGTGGAGTGTGGGGTGTAGAGTGTGGAGTGTGGTGGAGTGTGGGGTGTAGAGTGTGGAGTGTGTAGGAGTGTAAAGTGTGGAGTGCAAAGTTTAAAGTGTGGCGTCCAAAGTGTAAATTGTGGAGTGTAGAATGTAAAGTGTAGAGTGTGAAGGGGGAGTGGAAAGTGCAAAGTGTAAAGTGTAGAGTGTGGAGTGAGGAGTGTAAATTGTAAATTGTGGAGTGAGGAGTGTGGAGTGTAAAGTGTGGAGTGTAGAGTGTGGAGTGGAAAGTGTCGAGTGTGGAGTGTGGCGTGTAGAGTGTAAAGTGTGGAGTGAGGAGTGTGCAAAGTGTAGAGTGTGGTGGAGTGTAGAGTGTGCAGTGTGGAGTGTAGAGTGCGGAGTGTAGAGTGTAAAGTGCCACCCCTGCCACGCAAAACGACATGACAACCTCCTTGGAAACCTTCGAAAAGGAGAGATTTTGCAGCTTCCCCCATAGACACGGCGACGCCGCAGGAAAACCAGAGACTTGAGACGAGAGATGTGGGAGCATCAAAACGAGCCTTTCGTGCGAGACTTCCTCCAATTTTCATACTTTGTAGCTTCAAAACCGACGTTTTCCTACGAGTTTTCGTACGAGCCTTTAAATTTGCTACCTCAAAATCGATGTTTCGTGGGAGGCTTCCGTCAATTTTCAGCACATCTCACAAAATGCCACGTCTGCCACGGAATTTGCACCTGGTCTCCACTTGACGCGGCCCTGCCAATGCGATTCGTAAAAAACACGCAACACGACGCGTCTAAAGTGCTGCGCCTGCCACGCAAAATGACGATGGACACGTCCAAAGTGCTGCGCCTGCCACGAAAATTGCAACGCATTTTCTGAAAACGTCGCAAAAGTATTGCGCATGCCACATAAAATGACTTTCGACACGTTACAAAACACGTCTGAATGTCACGAAGTGCCACGCCTGCCACGCGAAACGCACAAATTACCCCTTCTGGAGAACTTACCAGAGGCACGGCCATATAGCAATCGCGCGGACGGTTGCGAGTGGTTGCGGACGGTTGGGCAACGGGAACCCTTGCTACGCATTCGGGAAAGAAAGGGAAAGGAAGGGAACGGAAGGGACAGGAAGGGAAAGGAAGGGAAAGGAATGGAAAGGACGGGAAAGGAACGGAAAGAAAGGGAAAGGAAGGGAAAGAAAGGGAAAGAAAGGCAAAGGAAGGGAAAGGACGGAAAAGGAAGGGAAAGGAAGGGAAAGGACGGGAAAGGAAGGGAAGGAAGGGAAAGGAAAGAAGAGGTTGATTTGGAAATCAGCCGCCGTCGCATGACACCGTGCTCAGAAAACGAAGATTTTGCCCCAGAACGAAGATTCGGCGGGTCCGGCTTCAGAGGAAAAAAGGTGAGGACCAACCAACCTGACCATGGAAAAAAATTATGGAAAAACATTATTTTTAATGGGGCCCTCACTATTTCTATGGCCATGGAAACCATGGCTATGTTAAATAACCAGATGTATAGATGCGGCAGTGGCTTGGCAATTTTGTAGGATACGATACCCGTTTTTTCCCAAAAGTATCTCCGATGCTTGGGTTCTCGTTTAGTTTCTCGTTTGCAGCGGGGGAGCGATACGTAGTGTTGGACGGAGATGGGAAGGAAGGAAAGAAGGAAGGAAGGAAGGAAGAAAGGAAGGAAGGGAGGAAGAGGAAGAGAAGGAAGGGAGGAAGGAAGGAAGGGAGGAAGGAAGGAAGGGAGGGAGGAAGGAAGGAAGGGAGGAAGGGGAAGAGAAGGAAGGAAGGGAGGAAGAAAGGGAGGGAGGAAGGAAGGGGAGGTGCAAATAGCTTGCGGACAGCTTCGCCGGGAGGGAGCGAGACAGCATGCTGGACGGAGGGGAAACCGTGGAAATAGCTTGGGGAGAGCTTCGCTGGGAGGGAGCGAGACAGCATGCTGGACTCAGAGGCTTTGACACAGAGAAGTCGTTTGCACAAAACAAAACCTTGCTTCTGTGTAAAACGTCCTCTGTGTGTAAAAGTCTCTGTAGAGCTGAAAAAAAGAATTTTGCAGTGAATGCGCCCATAATATTCATCTTCCAAAAAGGTGCTGGCAAGAGGCGAAAGGGAAATAAACCAGTTATTACTCGAATTTGTTTGCTGTCGTTTTGCTTTTGGGTTCTCAGGCCCCCCCTTGTTTTTTTTTTTTGCGTGATCAAGATGATCAACCAACTTTGACCAGACGTTCTTCAAGTTTTGGATGACTGGCGGAAGTTGGTAAATGGTTACCAGTTGCCAGGTGGGTTACCAGGTGGGTTACTGCCCAGGAAGCTCCGGTTGAGGTAGTGCCCTTCGTCACGGCGCAGTCCAACGCCCAGAATTTGTCACTTTCGGGAGAATGGAAATGTTGAAAGCAAATGCATAGGATTTTACCAGGCAGCAAACGTGGTATGTTTTGACCATCCGAGGGTGTTGGAATTGTCAATATTGCATGCACTCCAGATTCTGAATCAACGTTTCTTTGTGTGTGCCAGTGCATCTATACAGTTCCAAGCTCAGCAACCCCTTTGCTGTGAAGATGGGCCGCCGAGTGGGACCTGCTGCCCTGGTGTTGGGCGCCCTGGCATGCCTGTTCTGGGGCCCCAGCTTCACAGGAACTGTGGCGAAGAGGCCAGAAAGCGCAGTGGTGAGGATGGCTGCTTCCAAGTGGGTGAACGAGAAAGACCCTGACATGTCCCACCCCAGCGGCCTCTACGTGCTGCCCATCAAGCCAGCAAAGAAGCAGGAGAACTACATCTACACCTGGAAGAAGGATGACAAGGGGGTCATTCAGGACTACATGAAGGTACCATATGACAAGCCCGAGCGCGCTGCGGACTACTACACCCAGCGTACTCCCAATGGCTGCTGGGACCACTGGGGCAAGAGCGGCGAGGGCGAGGAAGTTTGAGCTAGGCAACTAAGATGTGTACATTGGTGTAGATCATCTTTTTGAAAGACCGGTGATCAGTTGCATTCTTTGCGCACTTAGATGCTCAAAGCATTTGCGAAGGAGTAGCTGGCTACATGACGGTTGCAACAAGAGCTTGCGGTCAAAATAGGAGTCATGATGAATGCTCTTTGTGATGTCTCAGGCTGTGTTTTCTGATACACAACAAGCTCCAACTCCCCAAATTTGCGAGTCGTGTTTTGCTGTTCACATGTAGTTCAGTAGAAGTCAATCATGTGCTTTGAAGCTTTGAACTGTTTAAGCAAGACTCTGTCTCTTTCTTTGCAAGCTTAATCAGACATGAATCATGCTGAATCTCTTTCAAGTTTTCTGCTCAAGGGTTCCCCACGTACTGCCTTTGTTGTGAAGATGGGCCGCCGAGTGGGACCTGCTGCCCTGGTGTTGGGCGCCCTGGCATGCCTGTTCTGGGGCCCCAGCTTCACAGGAACTGTGGCGAAGAGGCCGGAAAGCGCAGTGGTGAGGATGGCTGCTTCCAAGTGGGTGAACGAGAAAGACCCTGACATGTCCCACCCCAGCGGCCTCTACGTGCTGCCCATCAAGCCAGCAAAGAAGCAGGAGAACTACATCTACACCTGGAAGAAGGATGACAAGGGGGTCATTCAGGACTACATGAAGGTACCATATGACAAGCCCGAGCGCGCTGCGGACTACTACACCCAGCGTACTCCCAATGGCTGCTGGGACCACTGGGGCAAGAGCGGCGAGGGCGAGGAAGTTTGAGCTAGGCAACTAAGATGTGTACATTGGTGTAGATCATCTTTTTGAAAGACCGGTGATCAGTTGCATTCTTTGCGCACTTAGATGCTCAAAGCATTTGCGAAGGAGTAGCTGGCTACATGACGGTTGCAACAAGAGCTTGCGGTCAAAATAGGAGTCATGATGAATGCTCTTTGTGATGTCTCAGGCTGTGTTTTCTGATACACGACAAGCTCCAACTCCCCAAATTTGCGAGTCGTGTTTTGCTGTTCACATGTAGTTCAGTAGAAGTCAATCATGTGCTTTGAAGCTTTGAACTGTTTAAGCAAGACTCTGTCTCTTTCTTTGCAAGCTTAATCAGACATGAATCATGCTGAATCTCTTTCAAGTTTTATGCTCAAGGGTTCCCCACGTACTGCCTTTGTTGTGAAGATGGGCCGCCGAGTGGGACCTGCTGCCCTGGTGTTGGGCGCCCTGGCATGCCTGTTCTGGGGCCCCAGCTTCACAGGAACTGTGGCGAAGAGGCCGGAAAGCGCAGTGGTGAGGATGGCTGCTTCCAAGTGGGTGAACGAGAAAGACCCTGACATGTCCCACCCCAGCGGCCTCTACGTGCTGCCCATCAAGCCAGCAAAGAAGCAGGAGAACTACATCTACACCTGGAAGAAGGATGACAAGGGGGTCATTCAGGACTACATGAAGGTACCATATGACAAGCCCGAGCGTGCTGCGGACTACTACACCCAGCGTACTCCCAATGGCTGCTGGGACCACTGGGGCAAGAGCGGCGAGGGCGAGGAAGTTTGAGGGTGAGTCTGAGGTCAGTGAATGGTTGTGAACGCCTGGAGCAAAGTTCAGCTAACAGAGGCTGATCTTTTTAACTGAACCCAGTTGAAGCTGTGCAAAAAAAGATTGGCTTTCTTCCTCTCACGAACGGCACGCGTGGGATATTGTGGAATCATGCTGAATCATGTTGATATTTTCAAGGGTCAGTCAGAAATACTTAGTTTCACGAGCAATTATGTAATTATATAAATTATATGTGTATATATATAATTATATATATATACGTATGATTATATATATATATATATTCGGGGGTAGCATATATTTACGTACACAAAAAATCCGGACATCGTGAATCCCCCATTTTTTTCGTTCAAAAAAATCAAAATCTGAGCAGTGAAGAGCTCATAAATCAATATAAATCATACAGTTACGTGGATGATTCTGGAAGTGAATTGTTGTTTTTGATTGTTTTTGCAACTGAAAAATATGATATGGCTGATATGGTGAGTAATCCACTTCGCAACTAGCACTGAACTTCGATTCCAGTTACGAGCCGTTGATCCTGGCATGAAATCATTATGGATCCACTGACCGTTGGCATCCCCGCTTGTGTTCTGGTGTCCAGTCCACCCAAGTTGCGCAGAAAAAGTATCGCCATCAGTTTTTCCAACCCACCAGAGCAGTTCGTGCAACTGTTTTTCATTGTTTTTCTGATAAGGACACTGTCTCCCACCCACAGACTGTGGTCATAGAAGGTTTCAACATGTTTTCGCTTACCCCGGATTTTGACACAGATCAAAGATTTATCGGGGATCGCAGCTGTTGACCAACTGAGCCCTTGCCTCGCTGGTGCATTTCTTGCTTTACGGTGCTACTCGAGCAAGACATGGCAAGGCAGGTCATTGGATAGGCCATGTGCATGGCGGCCATGTGCTTGGCGTAGGATTTTGCAGATTTTGAACAACGAGTTAGATCAAGGTCACTCAATGTCACTCACAAGCACGATGATTGACAGTTTATATTGATTATATAATATAATTGATCCAAAAGAGTAGAATTCGCAAAGAACTTGCTTGCAGCTTTATTGTAAAGAGATCACAAAGAAGCTTTGGCCACACCTCTGCCATTACTTGGCACGAAACACAAAGTGGCTATCTTCAGCAGACAGATCGTTCGAAGCCATTTCCATGGCGGTCCATGTCCGCTTCTGTTGGATTTACATTGAACATCCCCCGTCCCCTCTCTGGGGAAAGCCTTTAACAAATGGTACACTAGCCATGGATTTGATGTTTCTGCAGAGATGTCGTCATGGAGTTTCGCTTCGTTAAGTGCGGCATCCTTTTCGCAGTGAGCTGGTTGTTTGTCACATCCTTCTTACTTGCATGGTTCTTCATTCTCCCCTGCTATGTCAATGGTCCCCTCATCCAGTCTGAAACAGCGTCGGCACAGAGCTCTTTCAAGAGCCGAGAAAGCGAAAGCACCGAACGCCCAGGGCTGAGGGGAAGCAAAGAGACTGGTTGGTGCCATGTTGTCTTTTTGTTTCCATCCCTAAAAATCATGTTTTCGGATGATCATGAATTTTACCTCTTGTTGTTTTGAATCTGTCCCGAAGCACAATTGGATTGTGATCCCAAATAGCTACGCAGCTACCCTCCATGGCTGGAGGGTAAAGTGGCATGGCTTCATGCTTCAACTACCAGGAGAATTTGGACGTCGCCATAGATTTCAACAGCAGCAACATCTCTGCGCCAAGTGCAGCAAGTTCTGAAGTGAGCACTGATGCGAACAACACCACTGTGCCTGCAGAACATCCGAGGAAATATGCATATGTGCCTGGTTGGATGGTTTCAGACTCTAATGTGATCCCGGAAGTTAATGGTTCATGGGTTGACGGACTTTTTTGAATCCAGTTATCCAGAACTCACTTCAGTTCTGGGATCATCCCAGTGGTTTTAGATAACTTGTCGACAATTTTGCCTGAAAATCATCCGGACAATTGGGATCCCGTGTTGGGCAAAGTTGATCCTCCATCATCCACTTATAAAACTGATCCATACCCACAGATCACCAGATAGCAACACTACATGCATACATACATGCATGCATGCATGCATGCATGCATGCATGCATCCATACATACAGACAGACATACATACATGCATCCATGCATGCATGCATCCATACATACAGACATACAGACATACAGACATACAGACATACAGACAAACGGACATACATACATAGATACATAGATACATAGATAGATAGTCAGATAGATAGATAGATAGATAGATAGATAGATAGATAGATAGATAGATAGATAGATACATAGATAGATAGATAGATAGATAGATAGATAGATAGATAGATACATAGATAGATAGATAGATAGATACATACATACATACATGCATGCATACATACATACATACATATATATATACATACATACATTATATATATATATATTATTATATGTTATGTATATATTTGTATATGTTATATATGTAGGTATACCCATTCTGCCTATCTATTTCTCCATCACTCAGTTACGGTGAAATCAGGTTTGGTATTTGGCCAACAGCAGCAGCGACATCGCCTGCGCCATTCTGGTGGCTGCAGCCTCGGTTCAGCAGAATGGTTTGCGTCCCGATACGGATCTGGTGGCCATCTGGAACCGGGGTGTTCCCGGCATGGAACGATTTCAGAAGATGGGGATCAAGTTGATTCAGGTGAAAGATTCCTGGATTTGGATGGATTTGGCGCAAAACACCAAAAAAACATGGGGATGGGTCAAGCTATGCAGGACACACCTAAACTTAAGAATGGTTTACCATGAACTGACACAGTGAATCTGTGGTTTCGTTGTGCCTGAAATTTTGAAATTCTCAAAGTATGATTGAAAGATTGGGGATCCCAATCGTCCAATTGGAGGTTCGCCATGTTTTGCAATGTTTGCTGTAGCTTCATCACTTGTGCTCACCATATCCGTCCAGGATTTCCCAAAATTTGGTCTTAACCTTTTGAATTCATCATTTTGCTGCCATTTCTGTCATATTTGAACCACCAGTGAACAGTGTTGGATTGGTTTCCCTTCGTTCAGATCCTGCGCGCAGAGGATCCGGTGTCCAAAGGAAAATTCCAATGGACCTATTCCTTTGTGAAGCTGCGCGCAGCTGAGCTCTTCCAATATCAACGGATCATCTATTTCGATGTGGATGCCTTCCCGTTGCCCGTAACGAAACAATAAGGACATTCTGTGATATGGGTTCTTAGATTGGTTCATATCGGTTTATATGGGTTTATGTAGATTTGGGGTTGGACATGGTGATACTGGGTGGACATTTTGATTTTTAGTGAAGCGGCTTCCACTTTCGCATGATCTATATATGGGCCTTTAGTTATGAAGTTAAGAATATATAGCTTGGGAATTTGTATTTGTCAGGTTTTACAAGCCATTTCACATCATAGATCGGCGAACTTCAAAGGTTGCAGCGTGAACATTGAGGCTTGCGTTCAATGATTTCCGTTCTTGGAACTCTCGACTTTCAGGTTTCAGACCATGCAAGTTCTGCTCTTTGGACCCAAACAAAGGAAAACCATGGAAAACCCAGCAAAATTTCCCATAGACTTCTCCAAAACCTCGCCCAAGTTGCCAAGGTTGGCTTCCATGGATAACTTGTTCGAGATCGCCCCATTCCCCGTGGAACTGGCCGCTCCACGCGCCTACTGGTTGAAGCAGCCGCTGGTGCAAAGTGGTGGTCCCATGGTGCTCGATCCACGACAGATCTTCTACCAGAGGGACTTCGCTAAACCCATGGAAGGCACGCACTGGGGAGGTTTGGGTATCCTCCAAGCAGATTTACCCTGACTGGTTAACCCTGACTGCTTATGACATGTTGTATGACTAATAGTTTGCCATGGTATAGAGTATAGATAGTATAGATGGCCCATAGAAATAGATGGTTTACTGGTTTACCGAACTTAAAAATGGTGGATCTTTCCATGGCGAACTGTTAGTCATAACCAGATGGTATATGGTTTGACTATGTTTGACTTAGGATTGATTCTTTGGGAAAGCCTGACAGGTTTTCCATATCGATGTGTTGTTGTTGACTGGTAACAAAGGTAACCTTCAAACCCCCAGCAATCGGACCGAGGACAGGGGCAACAAACGATATCTTACATACCACCTGAGTTTGGGGAGTCACTGAAATCATCCAGATTACTGAAACCGGATGCTGAGCGCTTCTGGTTGTTTTTTTAGGGAGTTATATACTCCATTGTTGGGGGATACTGAACAACAAATACTGAGATTTCAACAAAATGGAAGGCGAGGGCCATGGATAGCCAGAATGGCCAGGGGATTTGCTACTGCAGATGGAGTGATTTTGTTCGTTTGGACCACCAGTTGAAACGGATTTCTCCTAGAAATGTGAGGTGTTTGCCAGAAATGACTGGGACTGTCCAACATGCCGCCGTTTTGGTTAATTCTGATTATTCGCAGACACTGCCCAAGGCGTATGTGGAGCAGATGCAAATCAGTTGGTTATGCATTGTTCCATCAGTCAGGGATGGGCAGGATGGTGGAATCATTCGACAGGTATGTTAGGAATCTCCGAACCGGAGACTGTGAATCAAACAGCATAGCTTTCTCCCGTGTCACAACGGGTCAACACGTTTCTCCCGCGCAACACGTCAGGTTCCATGGGATCTCTCGCTGGTGAAATGGACTGGGTCAACAAACACTTCATTAACACCGCCTCTTGGAGGTTTAAACCTACCCGACCTGGTAAACGTCAACAAAAAACTATGGAAAGATCCACCATTTTATAGCTGGTTAAATGGGTAAATCCACTTTCATGGCCATTTTCAATAGCAAACTGTTAGTCATTACCAGAGGGTATTTGTTATTTTCTATCCGATCTGGAAAGATGATGAATCAATTGGTGGTCATGACTCATGTGTGACTCATGTCATCATATTTCATCCACTTTGGGGGATGAAAAAACTTCTGACCCAAAAAGGTTTTTGGATCATTTTGTGGTTCAGCCACTAGGTCTTTGTGTTGGATGGTTTTTATGCTCTGCTGATCGGCGAATGGTGCGGGGTGGATGGAGCCTATCGCTACTGGCAGAAGCACTACGAGGAAAGTCCTGAATGGGTCAGCTGGCATGAAACAGCCGGCCTCAGTCTCCAGTGATGATGGTAAACTTGGTATAGTATATATAATTAAAAACCGTAAGCAAGGTACCTACCTAATTTGACAAAGATTGGGATTTTACAGAGGCTAAGAAAAAATGCTGATTCGGTTTACCATGGTCCCATGGTACTTTCCATGGTAAAGAAGAAACTTGTTCCTTTGCTATGAAGTTTCTATGTTCCATGGCGTATTGGAACATCCCCAGTCTGCAAAGTCTGCCAGCCATAGTTTTTCGACAGACTTTCAGCCAGCCATATTTGATTTCTCGAGGCATGACCCAAATCTACCGATGTCTACCGGTCTTTGGGGTTTTGCCAACCTTCCGAATTTGGATTTATCTTAATTTGCAAAATTATTGCCCTCCCATGTACAGAGATTTATCATGATTTATCAATTCCTCAGCATGCCGATGGCGGTATGGCCAGTCCATGAATCAAAAAAACATGGGTGCACTATTGGACTACTATTGAAGCACCCAATAATAAACATGAACTAACATGAACATGTCATGGAAGTGGTGTTACAAGTGCTACAACTGGGGATAGCTATGGTCATGTGGCATCGAGGTAAATGACTCACGACCAGAATCTGAGTCCCTGGGCCTTACCTTTTGACCCACACCCACGTACTCATCCCAATTTACACATCCATCCAATCTAATCTTGTCTATATCTATATAATCTACATGATCTATATCTTCTATACAATCAACATAAGCAACATGATCTTTATAATCTATACATTCTATATTATCATCCATATATAACCTCTACATCTATATAATCTAGACAACTTATAAAACTTATAGAACTTACATAGCTTATATCTATCCAACCCATCCAATCTGCCGGTCCAGGTCTTAAGACAGGCCGTGCTGGTGCACTTCATCTCGGACTGGAAGCCCTGGCTGCTGACCAGCCCGGCTGCCTTAGAGAAGCGCTGCATCAAAGCGCAACCGTTGCTGGTCCAAAAACTCACCAATTAATTAATGGGAATATGATGGAATATGATGGAATATGATGGAATATGATGGAATATGATGGAATATGATGGAATATGATGGAATATGATGGAATATGATGGAATATGATGGAATATGATGGAAAATGATGGAAAATGATGGAAAATGATGGAAAATGATGGAAAATGATGGAAAATGATGGAGTATGATGGAGTATGATGGAGTATGATGGAGTATGATGGAGTATGATGGAGTATGATGGAGTATGATGGAGTATGATGGAGTATGATGGAGTATGATGGGAATATGATGGGAATATGATGGAGTATGATGGAGTATGATGGAGTATGATGGAGTATGATGGAGTATGATGGAGTATGATGGGAGAATGATGGAGTATGATGGAGTATGATGGAGTATGATGGAGTATGATGGAGTATGATGGAGTATGATGGAGTATGATGGAGTATGATGGAGTATGATGGAGTATGATGGAGTATGATGGAGTATGATGGGAGTATGATGGGAGTATGATGGGAGTATGATGGGAATAGAGGGAATATGATGGGATATGATGGAATATGATGGGAATATGATGGGAATATGATGGGAATATGATGGGAATATGATGCGGAATATGATGGGAATATGATGGGAACTATGATGCGGGAATATGATGGGAATATGATGGGCATATTGATGGGAATATTGATGGGATATGATGGGAATATGTGGGAATATGTGGGAATATGATGGGAATATGATGGGATATGAGGGGAATATGATGGAATATGATGGGAATATGATGGGAATATGATGGGAATATGATGGTAATATGATGGGAATATGATGGGAATATGGTGGGAATATGGTGGGAATATGATGGGAATATGGTGGGAATATGGTGGGAATATGGTGGGAATATGGTGGGAATATGATGGGAATATGATGGGAATATGATGGGAATATGATGGGAATATGATGGGAATATGATGGGAATATGATGGGAATATGATGGGAATATGATGGGAATATGATGGGAATAGGATGGGAATAGGATGGGAATAGGATGGGAATAGGATGGGAATAGGATGGGAATAGGATGGGAATAGGATGGGAATAGGATGGGAATAGGATGGGAATAGGATGGGAATAGGATGGGAATAGGATGGGAATAGGATGGGAATAGGATGGGAATATGATGGGAATATGATGGGAATATGATGGGAATATGATGGGAATATGATGGGAATATGATGGGAATATGATGGGAATATGATGGGAATATGATGGGAATATGATGGGAATATGATGGGAATATGATGGGAATATGGTGGGAATATGGTGGGAATATGATGGGAATATGGTGGGAATATGGTGGGAATATGGTGGGAATATGGTGGGAATATGATGGGAATATGATGGGAATATGATGGGAATATGATGGGAATATGATGGGAATATGATGGGAATATGATGGGAATATGATGGGAATATGATGGGAATATGATGGGAATAGGATGGGAATAGGATGGGAATAGGATGGGAATAGGATGGGAATAGGATGGGAATAGGATGGGAATAGGATGGGAATAGGATGGGAATAGGATGGGAATATGATGGGAATATGATGGGAATATGATGGGAATATGATGGGAATATGATGGGAATATGATGGGAATATGATGGGAATATGATGGGAATAGGATGGGAATAGGATGGGAATAGGATGGGAATAGGATGGGAATAGGATGGGAATAGGATGGGAATAGGATGGGAATAGGATGGGAATATGATGGGAATATGATGGGAATATGATGGGAATATGATGGGAATATGATGGGAATATGATGGGGGAATATGATGGGAATATGATGGGAATATGATGGGAATATGATGGGAATATGATGGGAATATGATGGGAATATGATGGGAATATGATGGGAATATGATGGGAATATGATGGAATATGATGGAATATGATGGAATATGATGGAATATGAGTATACATACAGAATTACATATCATGATTTAGATGATATATGATATATCGTTGGGATATTTGATGAATATACATTTATGTGTAGCCAACCGGATGATATTCAAAGATATTTAAGATTTCCCATCATTGTTTCAAGTCAAACTCAACAACTATGAGATGCACAGTCCAACAATTGAGCTGGTTACCTGGTACAAACAAATTCTTTGCGACTTTGCGAAGTTTCCATCTCAGAAATCTCATGGGTTTGTCCAAAAAAGGGAGACACCTTCGGTACCACCATCTTTCTTCTAAAAGTGACCATTTTGGGATATCCTTCCATATCCCAGGCAATGTTTCAGCACATCTTTCATCCCAGGCAATTGTTGCAGATCTACCAAAAATGGTGGGATGCCAAGGAAAAGTATTGCTGAGAGATTGATTATGTGAACAAAAAGATACGATGCCTGGAGGGATCTGCGCAGAGAAAAGCCGCCGCCTTGATGTTTTGCTGATGTTGGACGTGTCTTCAGACTGTGATATATCATGATCCCACTCAAAATAGGGAGATGACCATTATATCATGTGCAAAATGGGCGTCAAAATTTTGGAACCCCAACCGTCCACCATTTCATGATCTATTTGGGGAAAATGTGGCCTGGTGAATTTGTGACGGAGCATGTCAATCTGGATGGCCTTCCTGGATGTCACCCCTTGCATGCCCATTTGGGTCTATTTTGGGTATCAAAGTTAGTGGCTTTGATTCAAACATTAGATCCCTTAAATATTTTTCAGAGTTAGATTAATCAAGATAGTAAAATTAACCATGATATACATCACATATATATTATATATATATATATATCCGGAACAAAAACATATCGTTCACCAGCTCTCCATTTCCTCCAAGGCCTGGAATCCTAGAGGCCTGTTTTGTGTTTTTTTTTTGGGGGGGTGCCGTTGTAGAGTTTTTAAGGGCTTCGTTACGGTTAGTTAATGTTAATCATAGATGTTCAACTAGATATATCATGATATATCTAGTTGGATACCAAGATTGTAGATTCAAAAAGAAGTTCAACAGGATCTTTCACCAAGAAAAATAGGGATATTACTACTATTGAGCGGGTTCAACGCACACTTTCAAGTTGTCATGCGCACACAGCGTTATGTTTTTGAACAAAGGTGTTTGGCCATAAGAAGTATGTTATTATCTCAACCACAACATTGCCAACATTGGTTGTATAGCCACATGTCATATTTCGATCCGGGTTTTCCACGTGTAAACAAAATCATCTGCACTATTGCTAGTTGGTTCTATCCCCTCATTATAACTATAACTATATTGCCATTAAATCACATTCAAATCAATCCCATTCAAACACATTCAACATCATAAATTCCATGAAATCCACATCAAATCCCATTAAATCACCATTAAATCACCTTTTTTCCACCACTTCCCAGGCCGCCCCGGCCGCGTGCGTTTCTCGCTGCCCGCCGCTGCCGGTAAGGCGCCGGCCGCAGCGCTGCCCACGCGGCGCCCCAGGGAGGCCCTGGGAGGTGCCATGGGAATCCGACCCCAAAATGGGATTTGTTTAAAGGAATTAATGGGGATTTAATAGGATTTAATGTGGATTTACTCTGATTTAATGTACTTTAATGGGATTTTAATGGGATTTGAATGGGATTTGATAGGGAATCACCATTTATGTCCTATTTTGTGTTCGGTTTTGGTGTTGAGATTTTGGAACCAGGCTGGGGATGTCTGTGAATTAGGAAACTGTTAGTTTTTGGGGGAACTGTGGGTTGGATTGCGAGAAAAAACATGTTTGAAAGAAGGGAGTTTTTGAGCAATAAACACAAATAACACCTTGGAATTTCAATGATCAGAGAAAACCAGAAAAACATCTTCTCCATTGTGGGGTTGAATAGGGATTCTCGTTTTTTTGTCCAGCAATTGGAGTTTCACACATGAACAGAAATGAGAGTTCAGCAGCAAACTAGCGAAGCCAACAGTAAACCACTTCTTTGTGCTCTGGTAGTCAAGGCTGGAACTGGAAAATCCACCATTCATATACATTGATATTCCTAGATTGTATGGCGAAGCCAACAATCCACCATTCATGGACAAGTTGAGTACGGCTCATTGATATTAAGTTGGGTTTACCAGACTGATGAGAGGAAATGGATCAAGTGATTGATTCGTTGAGATTTTCCAACAAAGCTGGACAGCTGAGGTCATCAAACTGCCAGGAATCTCATGGATGTCATGGAGTGACGGCCAGGCCTTTTTTGCGGCGCAAAAAAAACACCCTGCAGACCACGGTGAGTGAATGGTTGGGGATTCAACTTGGTGAAAGTGGGGATTGAACCACATAAAAACGGGATGTAGTTGGATAGAATTTAGTGAATGGTTGCGAAACATGCATAGTTTTTCACATATTCTGATGGAAGACCTTTGAGATATCCGAGAAAACGTGAACCTTTGTGCAACTGCGGCCAAGGCTGGCCATTGGCACCAAACATCAAAGGCTGTAGCTTAAATTTGAAGACCCAAGGTGGCGGCAACAAATCCAGTTCTGTGAGCCAAGTGCATGAAATTTTGTTCGTCGTCGTGGTGAGAATCCGTTTCATTGCTAAGGGACGCATGGAATGCCCACTATGCCCCAAACCACCAAGTCATACTGACTTCGCATAGAAAATCATGGTTTGCTTCCAAGTGAAGTCCGGATATCTTCTAACCTTGACTTGGTGGATACACATTTTTTTTCAAGGTTATCACGACTTCTTTTACTGGTGTCGCTAGTGACTGAAGTGGGATCTTGCTACTTGGCTCTCAACCTCCCAGCCGTGAATGGGCGGCGACAGCAGCCCTAGTGTGCCGAAAGCGCAGAAGGTTGGAGGATTCATGGCGCCACTCGGCGGATCGATCGTTGCTGTCAGTGAAATTCACGGCATTTCATGGCATATTTCATGGTATCATCTCATGGTATCTGATGGTATCTGGTATCTGGGGTTGGGAATGCCGCCTTTCCTTTTTTGGCTGGCTCGAAAAAATGTTGGGAAATGGCTGAAATTTCTACCAGGACCTCAGGATGATAATATTTAAAGGCTTCGTACGTTTGGTTTTTTCGTCCTCGTGCTATGTCTGAATTCTGGGAGTTTGTAAATATTTAGCACCTCTGTTGTAAGCCACTCTATACATCTCTAAACATCTCTAAACCAGTTATCATATGTTAATATATCTTATATAAATGGCTTAGAATCCACTTACCATCCTTCAACCTTCGACACCTGCAAACAGCAGCACCTAGTGGCTTGAGCCCAAATTCAGGCTGTGTCAAGAAACAGATTCAGATGATGGCTTTGATGAAGGTGGAAGTGGTTTCCGGTGGTAGTGGGAGCTGCTTCAATTTTTCCAGACGTAGATAGGGTGAATGGTTGATGGAGTATTTTTGTTGCCATTGTGACGGAGGAATACAAGGCACCACACCGGATTTTTTGCGATTGGCCATGACGTATATATGTGCCATGCGATGAGATTTTCCATATATTTTTCATCATATTTTGCAGCGTTGTGTCAAATGCCACAGTTATTTATAGGATACCACAGATTGGCCATCATATCTTTAGCTATTGCCCGAATAATGACATGCCGATTCTTAGCAGTTCTTACCCGTGTATCGTTTGGCAGCCTGCCGGTACTCAAATTTGTTTTGGTACAGTTTTGGACATGTATGTGTTCAATGTAAAACTAAAAGTAATGTTCCATCATACAATCATCTTCCTGGAATTCAGCAAGTTCAGTTCAGCCTTATTACTTGATGCATGCATATATGTAATTACAAACTCCATATATATATATATATGTATGCATCGTGTTTGGCAGGCACTGGGTGTGCATTTTCATTAGGGTGAGTATGTAAGCTGATGAATCCATTTTGGCTCAAGTCTGAGCCAAACTGGCTTCATCGTTCTTTCTTTTTTGGGGTACCCACACCACTTCTAGGGAGTTACCCTAGGTTCAGTGGTTTCTCGTTCCTCTACTAGGGCGTTACCCTAGCGTACAGAGGTTACGAAGGTGGGAGGTCACCCCCTCGATGCCCAGGGCCTCCATCGTCGTTCGGCCCGGTTGGAATGAGGCGGCCCACACGGATGTGGAGCTGCTTCATGCGGCTGCCTATTACGCGTTCAAGACGCACGTGGAGAGCCTACTCCAGCGGGGCTTGGTGGCAGAGGCCACCCGACTGTGGGCGTCCGTGTGCCAAATTGATCATTTCCCCCCACATCCAATTGGGTTGGGGGTGCAGGGACTTCCCCCTTTCAGACGGTCACCTTGTATGGAAGAAAACTGTAGGAGGTGTACTGAGTATCAGGGAGGATTCAAGTTCCCTTGGATCGGCACATGGAACAGCTCAGCTGTCTTGGCTCTGCCCGGGAGTGACCCGCGGCGTGCGTGGCAATCCTACTATGATCGCCTGGGCGAGGCGAAGCTGGATTTGCTACTCATCGAGCCGCTGCGGACTCATTGGACGGCTCGGGACTTTGCGCCGGACAACATCTTTGGCTTGGTCGCCTTCATCGAGCACAATGCCGATAGCATGGTCGACCTCACCGAACTTTGGGATGTGTGGAGGACCTGGCAATCCCCACAGCGTGGATGGAGGGACCCATCCTTGGTGCCCATCCCGGCTGACCTGGTTGCGTGGAGAGCACCACGGGCCAGAGCAGTCCGGTCGTTATGGGGTTGGCTTGATGCCATGGAGGCTGGGGAGGAACCCTTGCCACCTTGCAAGGCTTGTGGACTGCCGACACCTGAGCTCTGTGAGCGATGCTTCTCCTCCGTGTGCAGCACCTGTCCACCCTCCCAGTGTCCAGGATGTCACCCCGTCTTGCGTCGAGACCCATCTGCAGCAGCTGCGGCCTAGTGATGTTTGTTTGTCACCTGATGATACTGAGGTTTGGTCTGCAGTTTCAGGCCCAGCCCGTACGCTCCAAACCTTGGCAGCGGTGGTGTCAGGCGTCGCCATGGCGTACCACCCAGGTGCCTACGCGGTGCAGGCTGCTGGTGAGGCTCCACCTTGTGCAGAGACGGCGATGGAGAGGGTGGCATCCACTCGTGTTGAACAGTGGCGAGCTCAATGGGGACTACATGATGAGACTGACTTCGCATATGCGTTTGCATCCTATGACAGCGCAGTTGCACATGGAGGACACCATGTGGCAGATGCGTGGTTGCAAGCGTGATCCAAGACTGCCGAAGCTGACCTCATCCCTCAAGCGGCTGCCGTGGCTGAGAGCTCGGGTTCCAGAGATCGGCCAACGACATGGCCTGCGCCCAAGGCGTCCATGATGAAGAAGAGCAAGATGGTCCAAGCTCTTCGAGTCCGGCCAGGCCCAGATCAACCAGAGACGGTGCTGCTACGAGCTGCGGCATTGAGGAAGGCCTTTTCTCAGGCCAAGGTCATGCGTCCTCAAGGGGAGTTGACCC